GGTGCTGGTGTGTTTGGCGATGCAGTTGGGAGCCCACGGGAGGATTTAACTGCATAGAGAAGACATGAGAGGGAGGTTGAGACAGGAGAGCTCTGAGGTGGTGGGAGCAAGCAGAGCTGTCAGGGGATCGTGTGCAGGCAGGCGACTCCGGGTGAAGGCAGGCCGGCGAGGGGAAGGGTGTGAGGCTCCGGGGCCACACAGGGTCAGCCAGCTCCGGTGCTGCCCCTCCATGGATACTGTCACCCGGTGCTGAACCTCACCAGAGCCTCAGTTTCCTAGTTTGTAAACCAGGACCTCCTCATATGCCTAAGGACCTTACAGACAAGAATGAACTAAAGCCCCATCGGGGGGGCTGCAAATCATAGCACTTTACAGATGCCTCCTCAGAACCTCATCATGGTCATCAGGCGGCTTTGCTTGGAAAGCGGAAGCGAGTGTGGGGTGTGGGAGCCACCCCAGCAGCTGGACAGCACCCCGAGGAAGTGGACGTGGGGAGGGGCCGGCCTACAGTGAGACCCAACGCCTTGTACCCCTTAGCCGAATGTCTGACTGATCAGCACCAAAGTGCAATTCCCGTTCTGCTCCTCTGAGCAGCCAACGTGCAGCGACGTGGGTGCGTGGGTGCGTGCAGATGGGGACGGCGCTCACTCGGGTGCCCTGGCCTTGGCTCAGGTGCCCTGCTCCTCCCTCCTGACCTGGGCAGTTACAGGGAGGCCGTGATGGAGCCGGCCTGCCCTCAGCACTGTGTGTCATGAGCTTAAACCTGGCGGAGGTGAGGCAGGTGGCGAGCACAGCTCAGTGTCAGTGGCCTAGAGCCCAGGACATGCACAGCAGGACATCACCCAGTCAAGTTTCCACTCAGACCCTGCAGTGACATTGGTGACACACTTTGAGATGTTCAGGCCTCGTCACCCTCACTCTCTTGACTCTTTCCTCTCCAGTCACTGCTCCTGAGGAAACTTATCTTTGAGTTCTCTTGTCCCTTTGATCCCACAGTTAGTTCTTTAAAGAGCACACGCTGAGCCTTTCTTGGTTCAAAGGCCCCATTCTCTCAAGTAGCACAGTGTGTCTCTCTCCCACTGGGTGGCTGGGGACCAGCTGTTTCTGACTGCTCCTAGGAGGTGCTGGCTAAAGTGAGTGGGTGAGCCCTCCATCAGCGCCGTCAGCCTCCAGGTTCATGGTGATGGTCACACGGCCCTAGGAAGCGGACAAAGGGAGTAACGGTTGGACCCTGAGCAGCTGGAGAGGGCAGCACGTGTAACTGGGACAGGGTGAGGTGCACAAATGAAGCCTCGTTGCGGTCAGATGGGCTCAGGCTCAGGGCGACCCAAGTGCAACAGACCAGACCCCGCCTGGCCCCGCCCCTTCTGCACGGTCATTACTTATGCACGAGGTCATTATTCCAGCACCTTCCAGCCGGGCGCTCCTTTCTAGCCTGCTGTCAGCTCATGTTCTCTTGTAGCCATAGGACTTTCAGCAGCTGGATTTCAGAAGCGTGTCTGCCAAGCCTTTCTTCCTAGTCTTGGTCTGGAAGGCTCACCTGTCCACCGCAGGTCGATATTTGAAATATCCATGGCATCGGAGCAAGCCAGCTTGCAAGCCACCCTAGCACAGCAGACCAATGGTGTTGGGTGGGTTAAGTTCAAGGTGTCCTGGTACTGTCTCAGAGTCACGGCTAAGGAGTCCCCGCAGACCCTTGGACACATGGGCGGCCTTCGTGCCCCTCCAAACTCAGTGCCCCCAGAAGAGAGCAGTCGTCCCTGCCTGCCTGTGCCAGGTCTGCCTAAGCTGACTGATGCAAAGGCTTCATTAGATGCTAACCAGCTGTTCTTTTTTATCCCCCCTTTTAAGAAACGCTGTCCACAGCCACTGGTGCCTCTGTAATGAGTTGGGCGAGAAGAGTCCTTGAACAGAGACTGAGTTTGAACTGATCAATGGCGTTTGGGGGCTGGAAGATTGCTCAGGAGCTGGCTAATTTATAATGTCAGGCAGGCTAGACTGGTAGGCCCAGGGGGATAGTCGGCGTGGCTTTTTCTTTCCCTTTTTAAAAAGAAGGCGAGGACGAAGGTCTGCAGCCGGGCCCCCCTTGACCCCCAGCACTGTCCAGGCCTGCTGCTTCTGCCTCCCGGCGGCCCGGCCACCACGTCCTCTTGTCCTTCTCCACTCGGACGCCCGCCCTGTGGCTGCTGTCGCACTCGGGCTGTAACTAATTTGCAGAGGACACCTGTTCCTTAATTAGCTGCGGCTCCCAGTCTCCTCTGGTCTGGGCTCCTCGGATGCATGGATACGGTACAGGGCCGCTGCCCAGCCGTCTGTACCTCTGGGCTGTGCCTGAGTGGCCCGGAGCCTGCCCACTGGTGCAGTTGGTCTGAGCGCCTGGGCGTTAGGAAGAAAATGCATCCCAGCCACCAGCCGGCCATGGCTGTCACAGCTGTCGGCTTCACAAAGCACATCCACCCACTGGTCACTCGGAGGTGGACCTGCTGTCCCTAAACTGGCTCTGGGAGTCTCCTGCAGTTGTAAGGCACTTTCTGAGCTGCTGTGTTTAGACTCCCCATCACCCGGTCCAGGCTGACACGACCTTGTTTCACTTTTTTGGGGAGTGGGTGTAGAAGGGGGTACTGTCGGTGGACTGGGGCCCAGTCTTACAGGGTTTTGCAAAATGGCACTTCACGTGTAATTTTTGGTGGTGGTGTGTCATATTGAACCTGTAGCAGCTTCCTGAGTGCAGAGCTGAATCAGAGATTTTTTAAGTCTGTGAGCTTTCAGAAGCACGTCTCCTGACCAGCTTTCCCGCTTGTCTCTATGTGGGTTCAAACCTCCAACCTTTTAGTCTGGCAAGTAACCATTTGCACCACCTAGAGGCATCCTTCCTGCATGATAGGATTTTCATGAACATCTGTGAGGAGAATCGACTCGGGAGGCGCCCCGGTGGAAGGGAGGAGTGAAGGTCTGCGGTCGCAGAAACCTCTCTGTGCCCGTGGGACAGTTCTGTGACTCGCCAGCTGTCATATGGCCAGACCTTCCAGAATCCATCCTCCGTTTCTCAGGATGTGATCTGACCTCCCACTTAAGTCCCCACCCCCCCAAGTGTCCCAGCACCCACAGCCAGCCTGACCCCACTGTCCAGGATCGGGGTCTAGAGTCCAGCTTCCAGCCAGGCAGTTACGTAGGGACATCTGTGGTGAATAACTTATGTTCCTTACGCGTGTCATCTCCGCTTCCACCCTTCAAAACAGAAAGTCATCAGTGGAAAGTTGCCTGAAGTGGTAATTTTCCTAAATGACAGACGGGTGGTGCAGTATAAAGACAGCCGCTGACGACCACGCCTCCAGCACGCTCCGCCCAGAACAGCTGCCCTCTCACCAGAGACCCCCTTTCCGGTCACCCCAGTCTCACAGAGATGCTCATCACCCCCTTTTCCTGACAAGAAGCAGGATTGATCCTGAACCCCAAAACAGAAAACTTCTGCCCGGAACCCCTACCCCCAGCCCCAGTGACTGCCAAAAGGCCTTGCCCGCCCGGCTAATTAGAGCCTTCTCCTTGGGCAGCGCTTTGGTCTCGCGTCATCTGTGCTCACAGTGATAATGGACTTGAATGAGAGGTCACAGCTTCCCCCACTTCCTGTGCTCTGTGCAGAGGGGTGGGGAGGACAGCTCGGCCCCCACCCACCCGTCACAGGGCCTGGCAGGCCACACAGCTGTGACGCGACACGCGTACCAGCTCCCAGACCCAGTCCGACTCCCCGAAGCGGGTCCTGACCCACGTGCAGCTCCGGAGCGGGCTGCCTGGCATCTCCGGTGGGTGTCATTAGCATTAACGCGATAGAACGGCACGGCGTCAATGTTAATAAGGCCTGGAGCGGCTGCTTCGCAGAGCAGATTGGAAATGGTGCCATCATCTTAACTCCAACAAGCAGCTCTTAATTCCTCTGCTCCCTGGGCAGCCAGTTTGGCTTGGAAATCCCGTCTCCCCTCAGACGCTCCCCCATGCCCAGTGCGCCATTCTCACCCCAATTCTCTTTGCATCGGGGGTTCCAATTCCCCACACACCGGTTTCCTGAGATGGATTTGGTTACAAAAAATTTAAAAGTAATCACTTTGCTAGTTCTGCAGCTTTCTCTAGACATAGCTGCTTTTCACATTGAAGTTAGCAGCCGTGAAGTGGGTCCCTCGCTCATGGCAGCTCCGAGTACAACGAGATCCATAGGGTTTTCACAGCTGACTTATGGAAAGAGATTGCCAGGCCTTTCTTCCTTGCCTCTCAGTCTGGAGGCTCTTCTGACGTCTGTCCCATATCAGCAGTACATGAGCCAACACTGCTGAATGGGAGGCAACAGTGCATGAAGTGCCTGGGCTTGGAATCAAACCCAGGCCTCCCGCATGGAAGGCAAGCATTCTGCCACTCAAGCAGCATTTGCCTCCGTTCATTTTCTTCTTAGTCCAGGCTCTTTCCCTGGGTGATTTTCCCAGAAGCCACTGGCTTTTGTTCTCTAGGCTTCACCTTCTCTTTAAGGTATGGAAGCATGCTGCCGGTTTCTCCAGCCTGGGCAGGCCTTCTCCCTGGACCTGTCAGCATGTCCACTCCAGCCGTCCAGTGCTGACAGGGCTCCTGTGTCCCCTCCTCCCCACATCCTCTCTCCCCAGTTGGCCACGAGGAGTGCAGGATTGTCTGAGTTTCTTGAGTGTCTCCTTCCTGATCCTTGTTCAGGCCTCCCTCAATGCTGGGACAATGACTTTCCTTAGATGTGATTGAGAACAGAGTCGAGTGGTCCCATGGGGAACGCAGGACGCCTTAGGAGTTAAGTGTGAATGGTGTCAGAGGAGCTGGACTCTGCGGGCCTCATTCCTCCCCTGGCATGAAGAGTAGGACTGTGGGAGCCCCATCAGTCCAGACAGGAGGGGACCCCAGGGCAGGTGGGTATGTGAATGATACCGCGCTTCCCTGTGCAGACAGCTCACCTGCCCAGCTGACCTCTGCTCTCTGTTTCCTTCCCCCAGGCCATTTTCACCCTCCTTCTTGGACCCTTCACCTTCTTTGACGTCCAGAAGACCAAGTACCTGCAGATCCTGACCTCTCTGATGAGATGGATCGGTGAGTCTGAGAAGTGCCCAGTCCTTTCTCCCCTTGTCCCACTGGGCCCTTCTGGCCTGGCGTGCGAGGGTCCCTTAGCCACAGATGGAACGAACGTGGTGACCGGTGCCAGGGGACTCCTGTCTGTCTGGTCCCCCGCTCTGTGTGGCAGGCAAGGAGGGAGTGCTCTGCCCGCCCCGCACCACACGTTTATTTTTTTGTCAGCATCTTCTGATTGTTACTGCGCATACAGATACACAACATAATTCATAACGGACTTCACAGTGTTGTCTCACCTGGCCTGTTGTGGGCCTCCTCTTCCACTGCAGTTAGATGAAAGGAGAAAGAGTGAATCAGCCAATCGGGTGCGGAAATTTAGATTGAATTTTCTGCCCCCCCTCCCCCGACTTCATTCTCCTCTCAGCGCCTTGAGGAAGAGGGAGCCTTGTTCCCAGAGCGCCCAGGACGCCCTTCTGCAGATGATGGAAACGAGCCCTTCAGTCTCACTTTTCACTCGCTTCTCTCCACCTGCCGCGCCGTCAGCCCCATCAATCAAGGATCCTGTTTCCCATCTTCTTCTCTTTTTCTTTCCCTTTTGCTTCCTCATTTCTGGCCGGTCTCCCAGGTGCACCAGTTTTTACACTTTCCTGACACACGCCTGTCACCTCCCTTCCATTCAAATTACTCTATTGCTTTTAAGCAACTCTGTCAAATATTTCACCTGCTGGTCCACGTTAGGACTGGCCTTTAATAACCTATAGAATCCATGTGTCTAAATGGAACATGGGTGTGAGCTCCGGTGCAGAGCCAGATGCGTCAAGAGGCATGGGACTTGGGTACAAAGTAGATCGATTTGGCTTTTTTAAAACGTCAGTTTTGGGGAGAGAGGGGAGGCAGAGAATGGACGTAATGGCACACGACGGACGTGTTAGGGACCCTTATCGTAATGTATTCAAGACAGCTAACAAACGGTCATCATCTTTTCTAGTACGTTAGAGCAGCAGCCCTTACTGACCATGATGTTTCCGTGACTTCTAAACTTGGACCTCCAGGAAGAAGGCAAATGTGGACTAGAGCAGTGTGGAGAGGCGGCTGCCAGCTAGCATAGAGCGGTGCGTGCAGATGGCGAGGGTTCTGGAGTCCTGGAAGCAGCTGGGGCTCCTCCATCACCGGGCCGTCTCTGCCAGGCAGGAAGGTCTGAGCAAAGCAGCGAAGCCAGCCGGCTGCCCGCCCTTTTACTCACAGGCAGGGAGATGTAGAACCAGAAAAACAGAACACTGTTCAAGGTCACAGAGTAAGGACTAAGCGGGCACTAGGTCCTGGCAGCAGCCTCTGGGGTGGGCGGTCGCCCCTGCAGAGCGCAGTGGCGCTGCCAACCATTGCCCAGTCCTGTGGCACAGCCATAAAACCCACTGGCCTGGAGCAGCCATTCTGCCTTGGGGTCCCTGGCCAGCAAAGTGCGACAGGCTGCCTTCTGAGCCCTGGAGTGTGGGGTCTCTGCCCCCAGTGAACTTTACTGAAGGGGGCGTGTTCACTTCAGCCACCCAGGGAGGGGACCAGCTGCTGTCTGCCTGGACCTCAGGAGGGGAAGCCAGGAGCCTCCTCCTGTTGCTTTTGAATATCAGCCAGCACTAGCCCTGTTATAGGACCTTATGTGTGAGGGTCCTGGGCCTGTTAGATTTGTCCAGTTTCTGGGAAGCTGTCCCAGGACCTGCCCGTCAGCAGACGAGAAGCCAAGTTTGGGGTTTGTGAAAGGAACAGAGGCAAAGTGGGGGTGGCCAAGTCTGACTTCTGCCCACTTCATAAAGGGGAACTGTCCCCATCAGTAATATCCTAGTACCAGACAAATAGTGTCATGGTCAGCCATACCACTCCATTCTCCTGCACCTATTTCTACCACTCGTTTGGTCCAATGTTCATTACTCATTGACTCACAGACTTTCTCAACAGTTGTAGAGCTTTTTTAGGGAAACAGGTTGGGGAGTAGGGGAGGCTAAGAATATCACACAGTGCAAGTCTGGGTTTAGTCCAGTAGTTCCAAGCCATATTAACAGCAAGACACAATTCTTCAATTACTTCAGATGGCTTTTCAGTCAACAAGTAAAAGTCTAGGTTTAGTTTAACAGCACAAATAAACCTCTGATTTCCTTTTTCGTCCAGCAAACTTTATCTCAGAGCAGTTATAAAGTCAGCTTTTTCTTCAATCATCCAGCAAGCAAAACCTTTAACAGTGGCTTCATCCTCAGGATTCCTCTGGTTACACCTTGCCAGTCTCTTCTCAGTAGTGCCACAGGCTCTTCCCTGTCTACCATAGTCTCTTCACCCTCTCTCTATCACTGTCTCTCACAGTGTGGAAAGGGCTCTCTTACATTAGTTCCACAGCTATAGATGATTTGCAGGACCATGTGTCTGCAGTTAAGTTAGCTGGAGACCATCCCCCAGTGAAGTGCCACAGTCTCTTTGCAGTAGTGCCACAGGCTCTTCCCTGTCTACCATAGTCTCTTCACCCTCTCTCTATCACTGTCTCTCACAGTGTGGAAAGGGCTCTCTTACATTAGTTCCACAGCTATAGATGATTTGCAGGACCATGTGTCTGCAGTTAAGTTAGCTGGAGACCATCCCCCAGTGAAGTGCCACAGTCTCTTTGCAGTAGTGCCACAGGCTCTTCCCTGTCTACCATAGTCTCTTCACCCTCTCTCTATCACTGTCTCTCACAGTGTGGAAAGGGCTCTCTTACATTAGTTCCACAGCTATAGATGATTTGCAGGACCATGTGTCTGCAGTTAAGTTAGCTGGAGACCATCCCCCAGTGAAGGCTAATGCAATAGATAGAAAAGCCAGTTTTTAAGGCTTCTGATACCACAGGACTCCTCCCTCCTGATACTCTCCAGCTTTCTCTTTCAACAAGAACTCCTCTCATCCTTTACCCGTCATCAGCACTGTGAGAGGGAAGAAGGTCACCATCCCAGCACCAAGAGAGAGTCCAGTGTGCTCCGGGGCCTCTATAACTGGAAGAATCTGGCCCTCAGCAGCAGCTGAGGGGGGGTGGTGGTCAGGGAGGACAGCTACTTGGTACCTGGGCAGTACCTATTGTTAGATACTGTCAGTTCCAACTCATAAAGGCCCTTGAACAGCACAACAGAACACGGCTTGAGTGCTAGCCCCACAGTCGCCATCGAGCCCACTGCTGTAGCTACGTGTCAGTCCCTCTTACTGTCTTCCTCCTTTGTGCTAACCCTCTTCTTTACCAAGCATGATGTCTTTCTCCAGAGACTGCTCACTCTGAGGCAATGCCTACAGCACGTAAGACCAAGTCTCTTGCCATTCTCACTTGTAAGAAGCGAGAGGTCTGACTGTACCCTTCCAAGATACATTTGTGTGTTCTTCTGACAGCCCGTTGTCTGTTCAGTATTCTCACCAACACCAGCATAATTCAAAGGTGCCCATTCTTTTGTCTTCTTTATTCATTGTCCAGTTTTGCATGCATATCAGGCGATTGAAAAGTCCATGGGTCAGGCGCCTGGGTCCTCAAGGTGACACTGTTGTTTTTTAATGTCTTAAAGAGGCCTTTGCAGCAGACTTGCCTAGAGCGATAGGGCGTGTGAGTCTCTGACTGCTGCTTCTGTGAGTGTAGATTGTAGATCCGAGTTAAATTACGTCCTTGACACCTTCAGGCTCTTCTCTAGACAACACAGGCTGCTGGGATTTCCATCACCCTCAGTTGGCCTGATAACATGCACACCTGTGGGAACTGGGTATATGTCCTTCATGAGTCCCAGAGCCCCAAGTTCAAGTCCTGTGGCAATTGGGATAAGTGGGAGTTCACTCCATAGATTACAAGGACTGAGTGTTGGAATGGAGGGAATGGAGACCCCCAGAGCTGGGAGGTTGTGTGTCTACAGTCAGGGAGCTGACACGGATGCCTCCCCTTCTGCTGTCTGTCCACTCATGTGAAATGTTTGAGGGCCTGATGATTTCCAGGAAAATGGCCTCGCTTCTCGGTCCTCTGGCCTGTCCTGCTGCCCCAGCCCCTCGAGCCCTGCGGAGATTCACAGGGACAGTCCTTCATCTGCTGCATTTACAGGGTGGGAGTCTCCTGACGAGGAAGCCAGGCTGCCGCCTGCCCTCTCCAGGGCGGCAGGATCTGGGTGGGGAGAGGCGAGGGGACACTCCTGCCCTTGCAGAAGTGATGGATTCCCATGTCAGCCCCCGAGGGGACAGCCACCCGGATAATGATGGTTAATGGCTTCCGCGTCGCCCCCGGCTTGTGCAGCTCACGGTTCCGCTCTGTGTCTGGTGAGCAATCCATTCATTACGAGGCAAAGATTGTAAGAGGGAGAAGAGACTGCAGGCGGTAAATGAAGAGGGATGGTCTCCGTGCGGGAGACTAGACATTCGCAGAACAATGGGGCCGATCCCACTCCCACCTGGCGCGCGGGGACCCCCCCCCGGGATTCTGCCCCATCCTCCTCCCAGGACTGGCTCCCAGTGGAATCGGCTGCTGGCCTGCAATAGACTGCTCTTTCTCACCGTGGCAGGCTGCCCTGTCCACTCTGACGGCCATCACGTCTCTTCCTCTGCTTTCTCCGGAGCAGGCGGCTGCCAGTTAGTTCAGGGGCTGCAGCCCACAGCCTCTTCCTTTACTGGGTCTTCTCTCCACCGGCTCAGAGGTGCCTGGCCGCCCCACAGCACCGGGGGCCTCAGGGGACTTGACAGCAGAGCCCCGCTTAGAAGGTCACCTGCACACATGCTTCTGGTAGTGATGTTGTCCTGACAGCATTGTCTTTGAGCCTCTTTGCCTTTTGTCTCCTTGTGATCCAGGAGATAATCAAACATCAGTCACCTCTCCCAGGGGGCTCCAGGTGACAGAGCCTGGAGGTCATTTTGTCCTTGTGGATTCAGACCTTGGGCCTCTGACCCTGGGCCTTCTTGGAGAAAGACAACTGGCGCAGTTATGTGAGCTCTAGAAGCAGCCCAGCCCAGGTTCCACTTCCAGCCGGCCGTGGCTGGTCAGGTGGCAG